CTGGCCCCCTCGCATCGCCCTCCGCCTCCGCGGCGGCGATGAGCTCCTCGACGAGCTCGTCCAGCCGGCGGTCCGCAGCCGCGCTGTCCGCCACCGCGCTTCCCGCCTCCTCGGCGTCGCTCGCCCCGGCTGTCAGCCAAAGGGCCCGCGTCGCAGCTGTGCGCGCCCCGGCCTCCGACCCGTGCGACAGCATCGCGCCGTCCGCCTCCGCGCGCAGCGCCGCTCGCTCCGCTGCCGCCCCCCACGCGCGCGCCAGGCGCCCCCTGCCGCCACCGGAGGCCGCGCGCCGGGCCAGCTCCTCCAGGGCCTCTGCGCTCGCCGCGCGCAGCCGGCCGAACGTCTCCCAGGACACGGCAGCCGCAGACGGGCCGTGCCGTCGCGCCTTGCCACCTGCTCCGGCACGCGCGGCGGCGCCCGCGAGGTCCGCCGTCTGCTGGTCGGCCGGCGCCGAACGGAGCGCGAGCGGCGACCAGATCGCGACGCCCAGCCGCCACTGGTGGAGCTCGCCCAGGTAGCTGGCGACGATATCCAAGATCGCCTCCATGCACGTCGGCGGCCGCCGCTCGCACTCTGCGCGCTCCGGCTGTCGCCGCCGGCGCAGCACTGGGGCGCGGCGCTCTTCGTCCACGGCGTAGACTGCGCGCTCCGTGGCCTGCTTCAACGTCTAGATCACGCTCCAGCGTGGGCGTTGGCGGCCACCCTGCTCGGCGCAGCGCCGCGCGCGCTGCAACCTCGCACTCCAGTGCTTCCCGCGCGTCTCCCCGGCGGTGCCATTGCGGCGGTGGCCTTCCAAGAGGCCCGGGCGCCCACGTGTGGCGACGACGAAGTGAGCATCTGGGAATAGATTTGCCCTCTCTCTTGGGATGTCGCGCCGTGCGCAACCCGTGCCGGGGCCCCCTGCGCCGAGCATGATCAGCTCGCGGCGCGCGTCAACCTCGCGCCAGAGGCGCGTCGCCAGGAGTGCGCGCCAATGTCTCTAGACCTGGATTAACACTTTCTGGCCGCGCGCATCGAGCTCGTCAGGCGAGGGGTGCGCCGGGCGAGCGGGCGCCCGCGCGAGCTGCTTTGGGCTCGCGTCCGCCGCCCGCGGCCCAGCGTTGCACTCTGCGCGCTGCGCCGCGCCGAAGCGGAAGATGCTGTGCTCCTCGACCAGCCCATGCCGTTGCAGGTGCCGCTTCGCGCGCCGGGCACGCTCGCGCATCTCGTCGAGCCGCGGGGCGACGCCAAACTGCTCCGCGAGAGCCGGCAATCGCGTGCGAACGCTGCGCCGCCGGGCCCACGACGCCGCCGCTGCCTGCCTCTCGCTGCAGTCCGCAACGAATCCCAGGCCGCCGTGCCCCGCGGCGACGCGCCTGCCCCAGTCGCCCCAGCCGCCGAGCCGGGTAGCGGCAGCGGCCTTCGCGGCCTGGTGCTCGCCAGCGACGCGCTCGATGCACTCGCGGGGCAGCGCGGAGGTCATAGTCGATGGCGTGCGCCGCGCCCAGCCGTGCGCCGCGCCTTGCTGTCCGCTACCTTTCGCGCGGCGTCCAGCGCGCGCCGGAGCAAGTGCTGCGCGCGCTCCGCCCTCGCCTCTGTCTGCTCCGCCCTCGACTCGCCGACGGCAACCCATGTCTCCGCGTCGCTGGAGGCGGCGGCGCCGAGAATCCGAATTCCGCCCCGCGCGCGCGGGAACGCAGCCACCATCTGCCTTTCCGCGGGGGCCAGAGCAGCGTCGCCATCGGCCAGAGCGTCGGCCGCGATGAGCCCCGCCTGGGACTTCGTTGATCTCGGCGCCGCCCTCGCGAAGCGACTCGCGCACCGTCGGCCAGTGCGCGTCGTCGCCAGGTCTCCAGCAGGACGCGCTGATCGCCCTGGCACCCAGGCGCGCCGAGAACGCAGCTGCTGCCGCCCGCTGCCTAGGGCCCCCGGTTCCCAGGCCTTCGCACAGCTCCTCGACCCCCGCGCCGAACATTATCTGCATGAGCCTGGAGCCTTGCCGGCCGCCGGAAGACGCGCGGAAATACGTGCCAACTCGCACGGAGGCGCCGGCTGCGTGGACGAAATCGTCCGCGCAGGGGGGCCCCGCGACGGCCTCAGCGGCGGCCCCGGCGGGCCCCTAGTGCGTGCCGGCTCGCATGGAGGCGTTGGCTGCGTGGACGAAATCGTCCGCGCGGTGTCGTCGTCGGTGTCGTCGTCGCCTTCGTCGTCGCCGTCGTCGTCCGTTCCGGATGCTGTTCGCATGCGGAGTTTCTCCGACCTCCTTCTGCAGTATTTTGCCAAATTCTGGTTTCTTCTGCCCCCTCATACCTCCTCCTGCTTCTTACCTCCTCATACTTGATCGCTTGGTAGAGCTGCCCACACACCGGTGACCCGCGCGGGTCACCATGGTGCCTTCTGCTCCCCCTGGGCTGATATTATTCCTTCTCCTCCTTCTCCGCCCGTTCCTGTTTTTATCCACCTCCCTCCTCTCTCGTTTTGGCGGATCGTTGCGGGTGCTCGTGTGGGCAGATCTACGGGGTCGTTCGTGTTGGCGTCATGTTTGAGGCAGGCCTTTTGGCAGATCTTTGCGGGGCGCTAGTTAAGGCGCATCTTTTGGCAGAGAAAGACTGCTCATGCTCGTTGGCGCCGTGGGCTTCAGACCCTCCCTGGACCTCCCCAAGCCAGTCTCGCCTCGCACGCGGAACACCAAGCTGAACCTTGAACGGCAAAGTTGCAATGCTAAAAAACTGCAATGCAACAAAAACTGCAATGCAACAAAACACTAATTCTGATCATGGTCGTTGGCGCCGTGGGCTCCAGACCCTCCCTGGACCTCCCCAAACCGCTCTCGCCTCGCACGTGTCTCGCCTCGCCTCGCACGCGGAATCCAAAGTTGAAGCTTAAGCTCAAGCTTCAGCCGTTCGGTTTGATGCTTTGCGTCCCGACGTGCGCTACAACGGCTAAAAACTTTATCAGCATCATCGTCGTCAGCACTATCAGCAAGCACATTGTCATCGCCATCGTAGCCGTCGTCGTCATCGACATCGTCAACGGTTCGCCCTCGTCGTCGACGCTTCGCCCTCGTCGTCGTCATCATTATCACCAGTAGCATCATCATCCGTCTGCTCTGGCCCCCTCCGCGTCGTCGGCCTCCTTATCCTCCTCCACCTCCTCCCACTTCTATCTATCCCCGTTCTTTATGACCTTCTCATCCTCCTCTTCCTTGACGCCGCTTCCTCGAAGAAGATCCCTGCTCCTCCTCCTTATCATCCTGCTCCGTCCTGTCCTCCCCGCTCTCTTCAATCTCCCCCTCCTTCTCTTCCTCCACGTCCTATTCGTCCTTCCTTACCTCTAGTCCTCCTCATCCTCCGCTCCCCTTCCCTCCTCGTTCTCAGCAGCCCTCCCCGAGACCGAGAATCCGACAGCGACAAAAACTGTCAAACATCAACGGGGTACTATTGTTTGGGTCCTCTTGGTGGTCCTCTTGAGGATCTCTCATACCGTCCACGGGGCCTCTTGGGCCGTCTTGAGGCTACTTTAGGCTGCTTTTGGTTTATCGGGCTGTCTCGAAGCCTTAGGGCTTGCGCTGGCGCCACCCGAGGTCTTCGTGGATCCAGATGCAGCCCTCCAAGGAATCCACCCAGGCGTCGCGTCCAGGAGGTGGAACGGAGCCCAGGGCTGGGACCCGGTGGTCATCATCATCATCATCATCATCATCATCATCATCATCATCATCATCATCATCATCATCATCATCATCATCATCATCATCATCGTCATCGTCTGGCTGTTTCTGCATTCGATGCTTCCCAAATAAGGCTTGCACGTACTGTTCGGGGCCCGCGCTGGCAGACACCTTCCCGGGAGGCGGACCCTCGTGGCGCTCCGCCGCCCCCCTGGCCAAAGCACGGCAGTGGCGCACTGCGTGCGGGGAGGAAGTCGTACCTTGACCCTCCCCCGCTTTACCCTGGCCAACTTCCACCGAGACTCCGCCAGCAATAGTCGTGCCTCCACCGAGACTCCGTCGGCAATCCTCCGCGCCGACTCCGTAGCATTTAGCTTCCCTCGCCCCGCCGGCCGAAGAGGGGAGGGACGCGACTTGTTAACACCCCCCGGTGCTATTTTCCATTCCATCGAGACTCCATCGGCAGTCCTCCGCACCCACTCCGTGACATTTAACTTCCCTTTCAGCCGGCCCCAGAGGGGGGGGCGCGAGTTGTTTACGCCCCCTGGTGTCATTTTCCATTCCACCGAGAATATGATCAAATAAACTCTCCCGCTTCCCCCCCCCGGGGGGGGGGCCGTTTTGTTAATCCCTGTCCCGGCCGCGTGGCCGACGACCACAAATTATCCAGACCGCCTCTGTGACATGTAGCTCCCCCCGCCAGCCGAAGAGGGGGAGGGCGCGATTTGGAATCACCTTCGGGTGCTACGTTCTATTCCGCCGAAGCTCTGTCGGCAGTCCTCCGCACCGACTCCGTGACGTTTAACGCCCCCCCCAAGCCAGTCCGAGAGGGGGGTGGCTCCATTTCTACATGTCTCGTAGCATAGCGTATAATGCGGACGAAAGGCTGTGCACGAACAAACGGGAAACGTGGGTTTCGAAGACAACGCCTTCCTTGCTGAAGGTGCGACTCGGATTAGTTCTCGGGTGGAATGATGGGGCGTACACTTACTTTCAAATATAGATGCGTGAGAGCACGCGCTTCCCTCCGCTGCTGCCCCCCTCCCGCCCTCGGGTTGCGTTCCCCCGCTACGGCAGGGGAGGGAGGGGGTGGGGAAGCGAATGCATGGAGGGGGAAGAGATGAGGGGGGGGATGAGGGACAAAGGAGAGGCAGGAATAGAAAGAAGGAGGGAGGGCGATGAGGAGGAGGAGGAGGAGGAGGAGGAGGAGGAGGAGGAGGAGAAAGGGGAGGATGACGAGGACGGGGGAGGAGAAGGAGGAGGGATAATGAAGATCAGGACGATTAGGAGGATGACGAGGAAGGGCAGAGCCGTGGCCCATCTACCACATGCTGACTCCTGGAGCCACTGAGCTGGTGCTGTTTGGTCGTAGCTTGCACTCACTTCAGGCCTCCGACCCTCTCTACTGCCCCCCCACCTGGCCCATACATGGTCTGACACTCCCACGTCATTGACTATGTCGTCTTCTTTTTTTATCGTGGTTCACGCCACTCGCGTGGTAACCACTGGGAATGCAACTCGGAGTAAAAGCCTTGGCTCTTCATAGGACGCTGTGAAACTCATTTCCTTCCCCCCCGCGCCTCCTCCTTTGGAGGCTCTTACCCGGCGCAAGCATGCGGGTAAACTGCTCAGGCCACCCGTTCTCCTTCCAGAAGTCATCCCGTAAGGCGACTTCTTAAAGATCCGCACGCGGTCGATTCCGTGAGAAGTGGGCTTGCGACGCCCCTACCAATTGCCGAGGAGCTCCCCCCACGAACCACTCTCCCCCTCTGGCACCCGCAACCAGTATCAGACAGTTGCCCGGGAACCGCACACCTGCGAGGGATTCTTGTTAAAGTGTCCGTAAACTACAGATGAAAGATCAAAATGACGTACACTCGGAAGTGCGTACGACACCAGATTGGAAAATTCTGCAGCTTAAAAGCTTCAGCCTGGCTGCGCGATACACGGTTGGCAGCTTCACGGCGGTGCGGACAAAATATCGCCAGACATGTTTCCATGCTTCCTCCGCAAGAGAGTCGCCAGATCCCACCAGCCATCCAAACGCGAACCCCTACGAAACGGTTGGGTAACACCCCCTGACCCACACGACCAGCGAGGAGCAACGCCATCCCTGCCAACAAGAGCAGCGCAAAGAGTGCGCCTCGCGCCGAAGAGTTGGCCCGCGCCGTGCGCGGGCGGCCCGCGAGCACTCCGCACCGGCTCTGTGCCGGCGGGGGGCGGCGGGGGGGCGCCCTCGCCGCCCTGCGCAGGCCGACCCGCCCTGCCAAGACGCCGGGCGAGCTGCGGTCAGCGGCCTGACCTACGGAACGACGGATCAGGGACGAAGCCCCTTCTCTTGTCCAAGGAGTAAACTTGCTCATCGTTCCTCCTCACCTTCCTCTACCTCCTCCCCCTTCTCCTCCTCCTAATCCTCTCACGTGAGGCCCCGCCGACATGGGGCGGCAACGAATGTATCACACGGTGGTGCTCCCTCACCCGCACATGATGATCCATGCAGCTCGCCCAGGCATCGCTCGTGGCTGGGCTGGTGGGCTTTCCTACAGGCCTACCACGAAATTGCCTTAGAACAAAAACAATTCTACAAAGAACACAAACAGTATTCTTAGAAGAAAAACCAGACGTGTTAAAACAGAACGGCCCAGGCCAGAAAGGTTCTAAGACCATGTCGTGCAGACCACAAGAGGTTCTTAGAACGTGGTTTGGTAGGCCTATAGGCGAGCTGCTGAAGACGCTTCGCAACTACTCCAACCCTGCGCAGCCTTCACCACCCCCGGCTCGCAGCAAGGCCCTGCAACTCCAACCCCCCAGGGGCCGAGCCCGCCACCTGCAAGAACGGCGGGTTTCCTGCGGCCGTCTGCACTGGGGCCCCCACCACGGCAGCGCCCCCGCCGTGGTTGTCCAGGGAGCGCCGGAAGAACCTGCCGTCGGGCTCCCAAAAGCACATCACGTAGCAGCAATCCAGGGACGGGAGACCAACGATCTGGGGAAGGAAGTGGGCCATGCAGCCCTTCACCGCCTCACTGGTGCACCAGGCGCACCTGCCGTCGGGTCCGCAGCAGAAGTCGCCGTTCTCCCAGAACGCAATGGCCAGGAAGCCGACGCAGAAGCCGGCGAGGCACTTCTGCTCCACTGTTCGCTGCGTGCCGTCGCCCCTGATGTTTCTGGGGTCTGGCCGCCAGCAGAACTGGCTCACGACGCAGCCCATGCAGCAGAGGAGGTCGAGGATCAGCGCGCAAAGAGCCTGGCCTTCGAAGATGCCCAGCGTGGGATCGCCGTGCTCGTACCCAGATATGGCGCACGGGGCATAGCAGCACCTGGCCCAGAAGGAGGGGGGCACCCGCGCACCCACGGCCGTGCCGCTCTGATCGGCGGTCTGCGGCATCCAGCCCCGAGGCACCTGCGTCATCGCCCCGGGCATCATGGGCTGTGCCATCATCACGGGCTGTGCCCCAGGCATCATCATAGGCTGCGCCCCGGGCATCATGGGCTGCGCCATCGCCGTCCCCGGCGCCGCCATGGGCTGCGCCGATGGCGGGTACATCACCACGGGCTGCCCCACGGCGACCGGCAGCTCCTCGAGGGGCGGCGCCGAGGCGGCCATCGGCTGCCACAGGGGGGAGGCGCGAGTCCCAGTCCAAGGAAGGCGTCTGAGGATAGTGTGGGCAGTTGAACCCAAATTGCTTGAGCCAGGCCTGAGCCAAAATGGCTACGGACGTAATTGACCCCGCGTCCACCTCGTCCCCGAAGAGCCAGACCCTCGCAAATTGACTCGTACTCTTGAGATTCCCCCATCCCTCCACTTCCCAGCCGCAAGTTGCCCCGCCACCACCGCGCCTCCACCGCGCCCGCCATCGCCCATACAGCGCCCGACAACCCCCCACCTCCCAACCCACGCTCCTAGACTTGTTGTATGGCGACCTCTGAACACATCCGTTCCACGCCCGGAACCTCGCCCCGGTTCCACCCTGCCCCCACAGCGCCCGATGTCTCCAACCACCTAATCGACGCCCTTAGACTCCTCTTGTTTGCGTCCCACCCCCGCGATTTCCCGTCCAAACCAAACCCCGCCTCTACACCGCCCCCACCACGCCCGGCACCCCCTGGACCCTTCAGCCCACTCTCCTGAACATGAGCTCTTCCAACCTATGCACGGTCTCTTCCCCGGGGAAACATTAGCCCCTCCAACTACCCCGTCACCAGGGGTCTGGGCGGGGAACCGCGACCAGTTAGAGCGTCCGCAATGACCCGAGATGGACCAAATACTGCTCCAGGAAACTCATCATGACCTCCACACCGCAGGGTATGTCAAATTGGCCTAAGTGGTCGTTAACGCGGCTCCGGGGAGGAACTAAGAGTGGCAATGATGACTCCCTAAGGTGCCCCGAAGCTCACTCACCCCTTCAAACAATCAACTTGCTCGACGGCGTTTCCCTTCTCGCCTTTTCATTTCCGGCGGGCCACGGAGGCCTCCAGATGGACTTAAGATGACCAAGCGAGCCCCAAGAATGGCCCAGAAGGGCCCCAAACGGCCCCCTGGGACCCACGAGTACCAAAAGAAAGCTGAAAAAGGCGACTGGGAGGAGATTATGTTCAGCTTCGAAGGGGTAACCAGATTACCACAATGGACTCTTGAGAGCGACTCCGACAAATCCCCGAACTGGTAATTTGGAGGGCTGCCCGAGCTGACCCCAGCTTCGGTTTGACGGGTGTCTGCCCTCACTCTATATGCTCGGGCTGCTCGAGCTGGTCCCAGGTTCAGTTCGACGGGTGTCCGCCCCCACTCTCCCTCTATGTGTTCCTCCATTTCTCTGCTGACACCAACTCGCGCAGGAATCGGTTATGGACGGGCTGGTGGGGATGCTGGGCAAGTCAAGAATTGTAAATTGCACGGGCCATGCGCTCACATGGTTCCGAAAACTGCCACGTCACTCTACGGGCGAACTTCCGACCCCTTTTGAAACGCTTGGCATCCAGACGGCACAGATTCGCCGCTAGATATCACCCCATGGTCGCCTCTTGTCGGTATCATTAAAACCACGTCGCCCGTCGGTTAACCTTAACACCGAACGGTTCCCACATAATCCAAAAACCCTTATAATGAGGACGAGAAGTTGTTTGAAACACAGTCCCCCGGGACTGCTTTGAACGCTTCAAGGCAGTCTTCAAAGCAGTCCCCCGGGACTGCTTTGAACGCTTCCCTCACAAGGCGACATGGGGGGCAGCAGCTGCAGGATGAGGATGGTGATGACGACCGATGAGGAAGATGACGATGACGTCAATGATGATTTGCCAACTTGTCCCGACGAAGCGCTGTCCGCAATTGCGGCCACTAACCTTCTGCTGCACTTGCCCGCAACTGCGGCCATTACCAACGTTTCGATTCGTAGGTCCAGGGAACGCGGTCGTTCCGCGGCCCCGCGTGGCCCGCGTTCTGCGCCTGGTCGGACATGCCCGCCCACTTGCGATTAGGAGGCGAACCCTCCGTGGCATTGTCCGCAACTGCAGCGCGATTATCATCCCACCACTTCTGCTCATCAGCGCGCCATCCCGCCCAGCTCGTCCACTCATCATCGCGCCATCCCGCCCTCCACTCCCACCCTTTCTCGCGCCATCCCTTCGCGGGATCCTCCGCCCCCCGCGCGCCGCTTCCGCTGGCGACAGAGGGCCCAGCCGCAACTGCGGCATAAGAAATGGTCGCCTCGTGTCCGTCGGCAGCCTGCGGCCACTGTGGTGTCCAAGGTCGCTCAGCCTCAGCGGCTCCCCCCGCAACTGCGGTTCCCCTCTGGGCAGTGTTACTCCGGGCGCCCTTCCCCGCAACTGCGGCGTCCTCGTCGCCGACGTGTTTGCTGCCCTGCTGGCCGCCCTTGCAGGCGCCGTTCTCTTGCTTCCGCTTCTTTTCCTTTCCAATCCTCAAAGCAAGTTTCTCTGGTGACCTGCGACCCGCGTTGCGGGTGAAAGCCGCCAGGGGGAAGTGCGCTCCGTTTCGCGCCTCGCCGACGGAGCCGTTCCAAATCTTGTCGCCCAGCTCGCCCTGCCTGACTCGGAAAAGGTTGGGCGCCAACTCGCCCCGTGCACCGCGCGCCATCTTTTGATCGAAATCCGCAACTGCGGCCTCGGAGGCGAGAGATGGCATCGCGAAGTCGCGAAGCTTGTCTGCGACGGCACCAGCCTTCGGCAAGTAAGTCTGCAGCATCTTCCCGGGGCCATCCGTGCAATCGAAGGCGTGGAAAGAGGCGTCAGGGGAGTTTGTTAAGAACCCGCCTGGGCCGTCGTGCAGGGCGGCCAGGCCGCGCCGAAGCTCGTATCTCCCAGGGCAACTTACGAACATAAGTGCCATGCTGTCTACCCCGGGCAGGCCGCCCGCTGTCTTCCAGGGGGCCCACGCAGCGACGCCCACCGTGACACCGCGACTGCGGCACCAGGACACGAGCTGGAACATGCACATGTTGAAGTCCCCCATGCAGACTTTGACGTCCCACTTCGCGACGCACTCGACGAACCACTCGAAGAATTCCTGGAGTTTCTTCGGGCCCCAGTCTTGGCTGGCCAAATTGTGGTGGACGTGCACCGCCATGACGTTGAAAGATTTCCCCAGATGGGGTAACGTTTCGTCCAGGGTGATGCGCGCAACCATCGCCCTCGAGTACTTGTTGTGCGATTGGGGCGCAGCCACCTCCGCAACTGCGGATGTCTTCTTCTTCTTCTTCGGCGTCTCCTTCTCCTTCTTGTGGAAGGGCCTCGTAAAGTCCACGTGATCAATTTGGCCGCCACTGCGGTCTCTGAGGCCAATGAGGAGGGCCCCCGAAGGCTCTCCGCCCTTGACGCACAAGTAGTTGCATCGGGGTCGATTCTGGAAATTCTCGTCCGCAGCTGCGGCTGTGCTCTCACGTGCGTCGCCCTCCCCAGATATTACCCCGCAGCACTCCTCGTCGCACTCGCAAAGGGCGATGATTTGGGCAGGGTTGGCGTGGATCTGCGCGAATTCGTCTCTGCGTTGCGCGGGCTCCCCTGCGCTCTGTCCGAAGTTGGCCGCGTAGAAGCCGATGCGCCCCGCTTCGCCTTGCCGGGCCTCGTAAACCGATCTCTCCTTCTCAGACACACGACTCGTCTCGACGACATGCACCCGCCTCCAGGTCCGCGTCTTCGACAGCACTTTCGGCTTGTAGGGCTCGTTGGTTGCCGCAACTGCGGCTTCCGAATCTCCCTGCGGCTCCGCCTCGTCACCGGGGGCAGCCGAAGACGCGACGGCACCGTCGCCATCTTGCGTCCTTTGGTCGCCGTCATCTTCCGCAACTGCGGCTTCCTCGTCGTCTGCCGCAACTGCGACTTCGTCTGCCTCCACGTGGATGAGCTCAGTGTTAGCGAAGCGAGTTCCGCGCGGCATCGTCTGCGACGCCAATCCCAGGCGCGCAGGCGGCCACGTGGGAGCCACTGCGCGGGCGCCGCGTCGAGCCTCGGCGGCTACCGACGCGCCCAAATGGAGAATGGGAGTAATTGGCAGGAGATGGGAGGAGAGAAGGACACGTTGGAGTCGGATGGCACGAGGAGACAAGGGGAGCGGGGGAGTGGCAGGAGGAGGGCGAGGGAACAATTTTGTCGCATCACCACGCACATTGAAACGCACTCGGTGCCACCCGCCTGCAGGGCACGCAGCGACAAGACCTCTCGAAAGTCCGCAACTGCGGTTTTTGCATTCATGTTGACTCATGATGGTTTTCCCCCAGGTCCGCAACTGCGGCTTGTAGGGGCTATAGCTGGAATCGCCAGAGCCATTTGCCCGCCCAGCGTCCTCAGTCTCCGAGCGCGCGAACTGCGACAGCGCCGAGCGATTCCCAGACGCCGCGTCGTTGGCGACTCGCTGCAGCCACCCAGCAAACGTCAACGGCCATTGCTCTTTATGCTCCTTGCACATCTGTTCGTCCCAGTTCGTTTTGAACCAACCCCACCCCGCCCCTCTGTTCGTCCGAGAGGACGCCCTTTCCGCGAGCAAGGCGGTCCAAAGCAGCCACCCTGTTTTTCTTGACCTTGAACTCCTCTGGGTTCCACTGGGCCAGGGCGTGCTTGTTAGCCGGGGCCCGCCTCCACCGCAACTGCGGCCTCCTTCTTCTCCCTCAGAACAACTTCGGCCTCCCGAATATGTTTCTTGGTGTCGTGGAGGGCCTTCGCCCTGTCGTCCGCTTCTGTCGCCAAGCGCCGCCGTTTCGCCGCAACTGCGGCATCGTGGTCTCGCCGGGCAGTCAACGCTCATAAGAGGTCGTCGTCCCCCCGCGCCAGCTCTCGCAGCCGCTTCGTCTGCTCGCGTTGTTCTGCACGGCATCGTTGTACCATTTTCTCCATGCCCACATTGCGCAGCATACCTTCCACCTCGCGAAGCGCGTCTGCCAGAGACGTCGCCACTTCCACCTGCTCGGCCGCATGGGCGCCCACCACCACGCAGTCCATAGGTGCCTGCTTTTCCCGAGACCCATCATCCTCCCAGCCATGCTCCGCCATAGCCTCCTCCCAGTCGGCCTCCTCGCCCTCCTCATCGCCCTCCCCCTCCTCTCGGCCTCCTCGCCCTCCTCGTCGCTCTCCTCGTGGCCTGGCTCCAAGCCAAGCACTTCCTCTCCGAGCATGTTCAACGCGGCATCTGAGACTTTATGCGTCTCGTACTGGTGCATGAGCCGCTGCGCGTCATTGCGCGACCACTTGAGGCGCCCCTTCCGGCATTCCTCCCTGACCTCCGCGACTGCGGCACCCACTTTCGCTCGGAGGC